CTACGAATTAATTCCAACACCTAATATGATTTCATAAAAATTTTTTTTTTTAGATCTGTCAAAGTTAATCTTTAAATTATTTTGTAGGTACTGCAAAGCAACTTGCAAGGTCAAGTACTGACATTAAAAGATAAATCGATAAAACTCAATGAAAATAAATATAGAATTGTATGCAAAGAAGTGGGTACAACATCTTGTATTTTTGCTACAGGTAAAAAACAGAAGCCTTATAAGATCAGTAAGTAATTTTCTTCTTTAAGTAGGAATATTATATTTTACATACTTAATTGTAAAGTAAAAGTTTCCTCAATAAATTCCTAATAGAAATAATACATGTGTAGAAAAATAAGATGAGATATAAAATATATTATAATAAAAAAAATAATTATTTTAACCGCGCACGCGCACACACACATTTTATTTTTTATTTGATGTAATATTTTTCATTGTGAATGTGAGAAATTTTCTATAAATTGTTATATTTTATTTTGTAGTAAATATTAAAAATATCAGTACTATTACCGTACGAGAAAAATTGCCACAAGATTCGAGAAAGTCAGATGTATTGAATTCTAATAATACTGTTTCTTCTATGCCAAAAGTACTGAACAAAAATCAACAAACAGATACAAAGAGAAATTCAAAATGGTTGAAAATCTTCAATAAGAAGCGCAAACGAAAAGAAAGTTCAGGTATAAATTATTATTAATTATCACAAAATATTAATCGATATATAAGTTATAAATATCATTATACAGGATGTTGCAAAACTCGAAATAGTAGCAAAAAATTTTTCGAAAAATTAAGTAAAAAAAGTTATTTGCAAATTTTTATTTTAAACAATATTTTCTAAAATATAAGAGTTTTAATATGGCCAATTATATACTATGTTTAGGCGATGAGTATAAGTGAACATGCTGAAGAACGCACTCATCTACTAATAATACGGCACACGCGAGACATGAACATGCGGCCATCTAAAATACATAGGGTGCGAGTTTATTTAGCATTATAAATGCTTGAAAGCATTTTTTGATTGGTCAATCAAAAGCTTCGAAGCACTTGTAGCATTAAGTAGACCTGGTGAAAATTTTTCTCAGACAAAATTTTTTTCATATAATTTTTTATAATTTCTATATAATTTTTCAAAATTTCTCTATAATTTTAGAACTTCTTACATTTTTTATACGAACTGGAACATTTCTCAGAAAATCTACATCTTTTCTCAGAATTTTTCATATATGTTAACTATGAAATATCATAAGATTTTTAAGATTTTTTTGTAAGTATAATTTCTGATGAAATGTTACAAAATCTAAAAAATTTTAAAATATTTTTTAAAAATTATGGGATGAAAAATTTTACTTGTATGAGAAGTTCTGAGAAAATATAAACTTTCCGAATATTTCTGAGTATTTCTGAAAAATGTTCCCATTCGTATAAAAATTATGAGAAAATCTTTCACCAGAGTAGCCTTAACTTGTAATTGGTCATATTTATAAACCTTTATTATATTTCAAAAAATACTGCTTCAAATAAAAAAACAAATAACTTTTTTACTTAATTTTTCGAGAACTATCTTGCTATATTATTTTGAGTCTCGAATTTTGGAATATCTTGTGTAGAGATTTTATATATTTTCCTATTCAAAATAAATCACAAATCATGCAACTAATCAAAAATTAATTTTTTATCATTGTTTTCTTAAATAAAAACTAATAACAAAAAAGAAAACATATGTAAATCTTCATTGATCTGATATAAATGCAAATTCTTTCAGATCCTGAAACTTAATATCTGCAATGAAGAAGGAACTTATTCTTATAAATTAAAAATATTAAAGAAAAAAGAAACTAAAAACGATATATATATACTTTATAGTTTGTATATAATGAACATATAATTTTATAAAAAAGATAAAAAGAGACCAGATTCAAATATATAAAATTTATTTACTTATTGTTGTATTCACTCGCATACCTACTATTTATATTATTTATATAAATAAATGAACCATCTATATGCTGCTTAAAAATTAAAAAAAGAATTCGTGAATGTACATACATATATACACATACATTTTCTTGATGTTAGATTTACATGTGTATGTGTATATGTATATATGCATGTGTATAAAAATCAATTAAAGAAGAAGACCAAACAGTCATGTTTAAATCTTACAAAGAAAGGGACCCATATAACTGTCCCTCTTTGATTTTGATGAGCTTTTAGTATGTTGCTGTCTAAACAAAAATAAGTGACACGTATTTTTTTATACGCACTTTTAAGGGATGAAATTGTTCCTTAAATTGTGCGCTCCTAAGCAGAGAGGGGGGAAGGATGATTGTTTACATTCTTTAAGAGATTAGTATGCAAATTTCACTATTCGTAATATACCTCTTATGTTATCCAATATTCTTTATAATTAGATATTATAGAACTTTAATTTACTATATCTCCTAAACCAATGCTGTCCCCACTTAATTCTTATGGGGAAATCACTCAGAATACTTTCCCCTACAACATATCTAAAGGACATTGAAATCGGTGAGGCATCATCTAAAATAAATATTTACCAGTAATAATATTAATATTTGGGAAATATAAAAAAATATTATAAAAAAATATTACGTACATACGCGTATGTATACTAGTGTATACATTTTTAAAAAATAAATTTATTTTACAAAAGTTGTGATAAAAAAAGTGCTGAGTAATGAAACAGAGATCCAGAAAATCAGTTTCAGAGCGAAACATAAACTAAATATACGCAAAAGTAATGAAATGAGTAAGAGTAGTGATATGAGTAGTAACATAAATGGGAGTAGTGAAATGAATAGTCGGTGAAGGTTTTGAAAAAGAAATGCTATACAACTTCAATAAATATATTATTTTATATCTCTAAAAATAGCGGAAATATTCTAAGTGGACTTAGAAGCATAGCAGAAATATTCTAAGCGGACTTAGGCTAACAACCTAATTCCTGAAAAAATTTATTGTAACAGAAACCTCATAGAGATTTTATGTTCCATGCAGGAGATAAAGAAACGTATATCTATATATGTATGTATATATCATACAAAAAATATAAAAGGAAATGGAAAAAATTAATTCAAGATATATACACTATATTTAATTTATAAATTTTCAATGTAAGTAATTTTACATTAAATTATAATTAGTTTATGTATAAATCATTTATCTGTAGCAGCGAATTTTATAAATTATATTATCTAAAAATGTTAAATATTATCTAAAAATATTATAAATATTATCTAAAAATAATTTTCAATAATAAATGATAAACTCTTTCAGATGTTGAAATTTTATCGAATATCTACAGTTATTTTTAACTGTATTATTTTTATTTTAGAATACGCTAAACTAATCATTTTTTAAAACAAGAAATATATAAAAATTATGCGCGGGCGTGTATAAGTAATGTAAGTATACTTATATATATACATAGTTTTTATATATTTCTTCTTTTAAACATTCATTTAAATAAATGTGTATCCATGCAATGAATTTACTATCATCTTATTTTCTTTTCTAAAAAAAGCTTAAGATAGAAAGTTAAAAAGAATTTAAATCAATCCTGAGCTCTTTTTCAGATACAACAAGATTATGCTATCTAGGATGTATTATGATATATAAATTCAATGCATGTGCTCGATTTTGCAAAAATATTAAGAGATTGCTGGAATCTGTATTACCGATAAAACTAGCGTTTTTGACGTTTTTGCTCTTGTCGAATTTCTTCGTAATGGTTTCACAGAATAAAAATTTTTCCATGAAAACACGCTAATATACTTGTCGCTAATATATTTTATGTTCAAAGCTAGAGAAAAAGTCGAAACGTTCAAAGATTATTGGAATAAAAATTCAAGAATTAATTTTGCATACTAATTATCACGTCGACTCTCAATCGCCTTGATTTTGGATTCTTTTTCTTTTTTTTTTTAATTTAGAAGAGTCCGTTGTGGAAGATTATTTCTGAGATATTTCTGAAAATTTTCGGTGCTGTGTAAGTGTACTAAAGAATCACCTTAGATACAGCAAGTGATTCATTAATTTCTCTAAAATAATGCATCGTTTTTTTTTCTTAAATTATGGGTAAGTAAATTCATTTGTTCAATTCACTATTATCTCATCACTTTTTTTATAACTTAGAAGAGCGTACGCCTTTCCTGAGAAAATATTTTTCAAGCGGTTTAACTAGAGGATACAAAGATTGACTATTTTTAAATGACAAAATATCGTCGATTTTCTTAACTTCTTCATCAGTTGATAAATCGGCAGTTTTTTCGATTGTGTTATCAGGTGAACTCTTTTCCGATGACGCTGTGGATATCACATGTACTGACAATTTATGTCGATCCTTACTATGTACATTTTCCTAGGAGATTTTATATCATAGATGTATTATATTAATTTTTCAACTATTAAGTAACTTACTAAACTTTTCTCTCTCAAAAATTATGTCTCATAAAAAAATCATTTAATATTTTCTATTTTTACATGTTAAAACATTTTCCTTTCGGAATAACATTAAATGATATATAAGAGTAAATTGATTACCTTAAAGAAATTAAGTAATTGCTGCCGTGATATCGTCTTTAAGTAAGCCACTTCAATATTGACTCGATCGAAGTTATATTGTTGGCCCGCAATCTCATTCCAATACAAGGTACACCTTGCAATTAACATTTTTGGTTTTTCCAAACGTAATGTAGCTAAAGCTTTCTTGTTTTCTTCAAATTGCTCTTCTGTCATGGTAGATATGTGATTCTGGAATGTAATTATTAGTAATATTAACTTTAAAAATACAACTTTGTATTATCACATAAAAAATGGAGTAATATATTTAATTATAATATAAGATATTGTGTGATAAATATAAAAAAAGAAAATATAATTCCATTAATCAATGCATTAATATGTACTATTATTGCATATACTGTTGGAAAATTTATGAATCGAATGAATTATCGAATATAACACATATCATATATCCTAAACAGTTCACCCAAAACAATTCATTTTTGTATCCATTTTAACATAAGATGAATATATTAGAAAACAACATGGATATTAAAAAACGATCACAAAAAAGGTACTTATAAATTTAATACTGACACAGTTTGTAAACAAAAGTATATTTTTTTAGTATAATTAATATTTATGATATATTAAATTAACAAATATTTCAGGCAGTCATCTTAGGATTTACGTTTTAAAACACATTGTTTTTTATGTTACTTGTTCACTTACTCATAAATTAGATCATTTTGGCACTAAGAAACATTTAATATCAATTTAACACAAAATTTTTGAATAACATAATCATTATGTTAAATTAACACTCGAATATGTTAAAAAAATCAACACAAACGGTTAACGAGAACATAAGTGGATTCCAACACACAATTTCCATTCCAAATACACAATTTTTTTACCATATAAGATATTATACTTACCAACATGGAGTCTAAAAATAAATTGATTCGTTTTTCGACATATTGAGGATGTTTATCACTTTGTACAATGATTCGCAAGCCTTGTGTTCCATTCGATCTACGTATACCACTAAATACTATATAGCCTAATTGCTCCTTAGTTCTTAAAATATTAAAGCAAGGTTCCGCAATAATTTGTGCTAAGAGTTCTAAAAGCATATTCGACTCTGTTGATTGTAAACCAGTTGGATAATATACCATTGTACAAGAACTTTTATGTAAATTATTTTCTGCTTCATACAGAAAGTGGCAACCTGTAAAAAACACATATTACATATTGTTACAAATTGTTGCATACTACATCATATAAACAATATTAACTTAAGATCTAATCTAATTTCTAAAATAAAAATTTTATTATAGATAAAAAAATGACTTCAATAACAAATAATTTGTTACTTCCAATATTTCTTTTTTATATTAAAATAGATTAGGTTGTTCATTTTCATATTTTTAAATTTTTTTCTACAATAAAACATTTATATGAAACTGTTAGAAAATAGAAATAATAAAATTTTTCATGTTGAAATTCTTTAACGGTCAATTGTACTAATGTTACTTTAACTCTAAACAAGGAACTTAAAACTCTGTTCTTCTCTACTTCTCTCTCGACTTTAAAAAAATCCAGTGGAGTAGAAAGGAGACCAAATTCAAGCAGTCGGTCGTGAAAAAGTTGGGTCGATTCAAGCTTCAAATCATTTTATGGAAAAACAGATCCGAGTAAATCTGTCGGAGAAAACTGTGAACTAGAAGATTTTACCAACAGTTCGTATATCAGGTGTTTGAAATATTGAGCTTATTGATCCATTTACATTTTAATCAAATAGAATAACATTTTATATAAATTGGAATTTCCGGAACAAAAATAAAACGTGCACATTATTATGTATTTCAGACAATAAAAAATTTTCAACTTTCCCTTTAATATTCTCGATATACATTATTATGTATTTCAGACAATAAAAAATTTTCAATTTTCCCTTTAATATTCTCGATATACATTTTTCGAAGCCGTGTTTTAAGGCCACTTTAAATTCTTGAATTTTATCTCCTTTTTCCGCGAGAAAATTAAAGTAACGATAGTGCAATCGACATAAGCATAATAATTTTTTCAAATGATCATAAATGAAATTTGATCATGTTATATGCTTACCATTTTCTAGTTTAATTTCACGAGACAATACTAGTTGCTGTTCTAACAAGGGTATTATGTTAGGCACTCCAGTTGTCAACTTAGACTCAATTAGTTTAAGTATATCTGTAGCTTCCGTTACAGTCACATTACCATGTATTAAGCACTCGACGTGCACCTTACTGAGTAGCTGTGGTATAAACTGCTGGAGTCCCTCGACATTTAAATCTATCACAGAATAAATAATATAATCAAAAATATATCATAGAAATATTAAATGCTGTATATCATTAATATGTGCTGTAATTGTGCTAAGAACTAAAAAAAATTTAGAAAAGAGAGAGAAAAAAAAATAATTTTTTACAAAGGTACAAGTTCTCTTTTATGCTTACAGGTAGTAGCTTCCAGTAATTCTTCCTTGAGCCAAGCTTGCTCTGCTAATAGGGCTACAAGATAATAGACAGCATGTTGATAAGGCTGTTCAGCAGCAAAATTTTTGAAGCTCCTGATATACTGTAATAATTCTACATAAATATGTTACTTAATTAAATTAAAAATATTGATTGTATTTATTGTACGTACTTTTTCCTTTAGAATTTCAAATCTCTTCGGATCAACTTTAAAATTTATCATTCGATCCATGATTTTTTCTAACAGCACACGTTGTTTGTTATCATAACCACCTATAGAAAGCTATAAAAAGAATTGATATTTCTTTTAAATTATGAATATTTTTATAAAACAGTTGATAAACATTATTACATAGGAATAGAATTGAGCATATTTACGAATAACAAATTAAAAATATAAACGATTTATGAATAAGCAATTTATGTATATATGTGAAATAGCATTTGTTTTAAACATTATTAATGTTAATAACAAATTGAACAATAATTTATTCGAATAAACATTCAAATTTATTTAAATAATATACATTATATTTTATTATTATTATATATATACTCACTGTTATTCCATATTTAAAACTGCTAAGATCCCATCGTAAACCAGCTAAATCAGCAGCATATGTATATTCGTTAAGAGAATCGCGAAACAGCTTAATAAACATATAAGTGAAATTGCAACTAAGGGGATCCATATAGGCAAATGGGCTATAAATTAGAGACAAAACAAACATTGTGCATAATTACAGAAAATATTTTTTTGTTATAAGACATTATATTTCATTCTCATCTTTAAATAACATATTTTAAGAATCATAATTGCAAAATTAAGTGTATTTTTTTTAAATAGTTTCAGTAATAATCAACTTATTAATATTATTTGGAATGCACATTAATATCTACTAATCTCATCATATTGTGAATTAATAGTAAAAATCATTTAAGTTGCCAGAATATTCCAAAATTACATTTAAAAATATTTCAGTATTACACATTCGTTTAGAGCAGCAACATGTCTTTCATAATCACTTAATACATACCTGAAAAATTCGAAGATCATCTTTGCTTTAGGCACAAAAAATTCATCGTCCTTTTTATACCAAAGTCTTACAAATGATGTATCTTCCAAAATAATAGGAAACTTTTCAACCTGTAAAATTTCACTTGTTAATATGATACAATGATATGTAAATATATATACATAATGAGATCAAATAGGACAAAGGACCATTTCATGTACAAAAACAAGTCAAAACTCAAATTATTCATCAAATTAATATCTCATTTTTCTTATTTATATCATGATCTCTTAGCTTTCTGTAAAGATGTAAACTAATCTTTAAATATCAGCATATATTTTTGTAAAGTTAGTACAAAAATATATTAGGTGTTGGAATTAATTCGTAGCGTTTTACAAGTGATGGGAAGTACTTTCATTAATGTATTTTTTAATGCTCATGTGAAATAAATAACATTCTTTCATTAAAAAACGCTACGAATTAATTCCAACACCTAATATATTCAAACGCACTTTACATATATTATTATATAAAAACTATACATGTGTAAAAGAGACAGAATTTATTTTAAGTTACTTTAACATTAATTAAATTCTATTTCATATCAAACTTCACAGTATAGTTTACGCTTCATGGAGATTTTGCTTTGAGTATCACAATGATCAAGAATTAATATTACAAAAAATGATAGTTTTAATTACGTTAGTTTGTGGCTTGATATCAAATGTAGTTGCTATAAATTCATTCTTGGGAGGCAATTTCAGGTCGTCGTTAAAGCTAGGGGAGTTCCATATGTCCATTATTTCCTTGGATATCTTCACTTTCTTATATTTAGTACCATACCAACTTTCAATTTCATCAGCTATATTTTCATATGCTTTTGCAGCTATGTGAATCCTAACATTTTTCGGGATCAAATATCCCATTATTTCCTCGATTAAGTCAGGCCGCCATTCAGGGTTAACAAGGTGCGCGCACAAAATTTCATTCATGGGAAATTCTTGCAACGCTCGAACAGTAAATTTCACATAAGAACGAGGCGAAGACTTTTCTTTAAAACGGAAGTTTATATTGTCAATATCTTTATATTCCTACAAATGTACAAAATGCATATTATTTCATATTTAATATACGATATTGAAGTACAAAACGTCTGATAAATTGCGATAACATAATTTTCCGGACATTCTACATAAAATTATAATTTATTTTGTCAATTACATCATAAATCCATTTGATTGGTCCTTTCAACTTAAGCATATTGATATACTGAAACACCAGTAGAACAATATCTTCGATATGCTTAATACCTTCTTCGGTCAAATCGACAAGAATATTGAAAATACTGAAGCCTCTGGCGGCAGGACGTAGTCCGGATACTAGGGAGTTACACCATCCCTTAGCTTTCAAAGCCGATAATAATGAACCTTCTCCTTCATGTCCAAGCAAATGAGAAACGTAATGTTCAGGCTATATTGACAAATTAATAATAAATATAAAAAAATACATACGTACATACACGCATGCACACACATACAGGCACTCACACATGCACACACATATACAAGATGTCCCATTTTAATTTCTTCAGGCAAATATCTCGAAAAATATGGAAAATATAGAAAAATGTTTCAAATAAAAGTGGAACGGTTTCGAGAGGGATGTATTTTGACTTTTTTTCGAACACTGGAACGAAGCAACTCATTCCCATAATTTAGAACGTTAAATACGACTACGATTTTTGAAATTATATCAGCATGTCACATATTGTAATTATAATAAAATATTTAAAAATAGCCCTTTCTTGCAACTTTAACTGTCAATTTCTTAAAATTGTAATGTGATGGAACAATTTAAAAAGCGGATTCGTATTCAACCAAAAATCAACGGAAAATAACTGATCTCGTTTTAATGTTTTGTTTTGTAATTATACTTAAAAAAAGAATTAACAATAAGATATAATATTCATTTAAAGTATCAAAACCAAAAGTAACAAAGCCAAAAAAAAAATATATTATATTACCGAAGACCGGTAATGTGGACGCATATCTGGTAAAGGAAACGAAATATCTAAATTTCTTGTATCCTTTATTGGAACAATATACCACATAGTGCGAAAATGTTCATCTTTGAATGGATGTTCAGGCCATATTGGAACTTCAATTTCCTTGTTTCGTAACTCACAAAATAGATCTACTACCATATTTTCAAGTTCATCTAAACTCTCTAAATAAAAAATTTATTTGTTAATATAATGTATAGTAATGTTTTCAGATGTTCTAATCATAAATAGATTCAATATCGTACCTTTTCCAAGAACAGACAGTGACATAATATTTGCAGAATAATACTTTTCATGAAACTCTAGTAGTTTATTTCGAACATTAATGCCTTTTTGTTTCGGTATTGTGTCTAATGTTTCTCTATTTCCTGTGCCGAATTTCGAAAACGGATGATTTGAGCTCGCAGATGATTTGTCTAATTGATCAAATCGCCACGTATCATTCGCTATATTTTTCTCGTGTTCTGAATTTATAGCATTTAGTTCTAGCTCAGTCAAGTTCTCCATAAAGAGAGGCGCTAAGAAAAATTGAGCAAAACGATCTAAAGCGCCTTCTAATTTCTCGGGAGTTACATCGAAATAATAGGTGGTGTGATCTAAATGTGTTGATGCGTTACTCATACCACCATTCTGTGACAGAAATATATTGTAATCATTCTCTTGAGGATATTTCTTCGTTCCTAGGAACAACATATGCTCGCAAAAGTGCGCTAATCCAGGTAGGTCATCTGGATCGCACATATAGCCTGTAACACATATTTTATATCTAAACTTTAAAATTAATAATTTGACAATTATTAATAAAAATATGTTAGTTCCATCATATTATAAAATACAACTAAATCCAGTAAAAAATGTTAACAATATTAACAATATAAAGTGATTAAGAAAAATATACACAGATGATAAAAAAAAATCAAAATATTGATCTCAATATATTGATCAAAATATTGGCCTAAAGGCATAGAACAATCGTATGGAATGCATAAGATCCGGGTTCGATTTTCTCTATATGACTGCGGTCGATTTGGACCCTTTCAGCGCTTTTCAGTACTTCTATTCTTATTTTACGTCTAATGAACGATAAAGACAAAATGGTGATTACAAGCGCTTAAGCGTGAGCATCCAAATCGACCGTAGCCTGTATTTGTTATAATTTATAATATGTATAAAATGATTTTATAAAAATGTTCTTATAAATCGCTAGAAATATCGAGCAAAATAGCAAAATAATATAATTACCGGCATTAATGTCCATTGCAACAGCACTTTTATCAGTTGTTGGATCGCTTATTAAAATAACTTTCATTTTATTAGTGAGTACTAAACCTCTATATAATCGGTCATCATTTTGTGATTTTATTATATCATCACATCGCTTTTCCACACGTTCAGTCATATTGGTCACCGAAGCAATAGATTCAGAAATTTGATTTCTAAACATGAAGAAAATGCAAATAAAAATTTTAAACATGAATTTGTTAATCTATTATATATCGCTATTCATCAATGATGCTGAAAAATATTCTAAAACTAGAGCGGGACTATTCCGTTATTTTCAACCTTTTAATGTAATACAAAATTTACAACAACAAACAATATCTTTTTGCAATAGTGCTTTTATAACTATCTTATACAATCATAACTACTTCTTAAGAACACAAGTATTTTAAATGTTCAGTTACGCTGCTCAGAAACATAAACAATGTCATGAGAAATTGACTTTACTATAACCTTGCTGTACTCTATATATTAAATATATATGTATAAATGTAATAAAATAGTACATGAACTCTTACATGGATTATGAAGTTAAGTTTCCATAATTTATTATTATTAAGACAAAATATTTTCTCTATTCTCAAATCAAGTTTTTGTCTATTTCAGATTTCTTTATCTCAAGTCAAGTTTTCCTTCAATTTCCATTTATGTTCTAACTGCACAGGTATGTGCAAAATAAAAACATATATACTTTGTTTTTGTCACTTATTTCCTTATTCCATCATGTTTAAATAACAAACATACAAGTAGGAAAATAACACAAAGTTGAAACAAAGGAAAACTTAACCTTAGATAATTAATAAAAAAAAGCCAATTGATAAAAAAAACTGATAACAATATATCACTGGAAAATAAATTTAATTGATTGTAATACTTTTCTTTACTTAATATTGTGGATGTATTTATATGCATGTAGCAAATTTAAAAGAAATATAAAAATTGTATCGCGGTAAAAATTTTTCATGTGGAATGTGTATATAAACATGTAGTATAAACATATTCACAAACATATACATAATTATACATGGAATATATCTGTACATATTCATACATCCTTCTTTCTTTTGTAAAATTACTGTTTAATATAATAAAAATAATAATAATGAGAAAACATAAAAAACAATTAGAAGGATAATTTCACATTATTTCTTTTAGAAAAAAATAAGTTTGGAGAAATATAAAAGAACTGCTCATATATAATTATACATAATTGTACTTATATAAAATTATACTTATGAAATTATACATAATTGTATATAACAATTTTTTTTACAACAAACAATGTGAAAATTATTTTTTAAATTATTTTTCATGTTTTCTCATTATTATTTTTATCACACTAAAACAGTAATTTTAAAAAGGAAGAAGAGTATATAAACATGTATGGATATATTCCATATATAATTATATTAATTTTGTATGTTTATGAATGTTTATATATTTTTATATACATATTCGCGCAAAAAATTTTTTATCGCGATATAATATCTATAAGATATGCATTTCAGAGATATGTATTATATATTAATTAATTATCAACAATTTCAGATATGTGTTAATTAATTACTATCAACAATATACAATTTATAAAATAAATAAAATTATTCATTTTTCCTAAAGCTTAATTTACTAAACAACTGCTATATTTAATTGTTCGTTATTAAAAAACTGTGAATGCATTTTAACTTGAAAAAAAAGAACATAAATCACGAGAATCCATACTAAAAAGATCGCGCGCGCGTCTGATAATTTTGGATCATACTCTGCACGTTACATTAAAACAAAAATGTCAATAATGAATATTCAAAATTGTGTATTGAAATCAATTTTGCTCTTTCCTGCAATAGAACAATTAATTGAGCTGTGATAATTCACAAAAATGAAAGCAAAAAATTGTTGCAACTGATACATAAGAGAAAAAAAAAAGTATAACACGTGTACAGTTTCACAGTTTACGTTACCACTCTTAAGCTCAAATAACATATGGTTGTGTAGCCAACAGTTAACTAATAAGCGACAGTATTCTTACTTGCAGGTACAACTCTCCACGTGGGAGTTCTTGTCATTCTGATAAAATGACGTCATCATGAAACGTCGAGGACAGGACTTCACGTCGGACACGATACAAATTTATTGTTTCCCGTTTTTTCTGTCACTCGGTCACCTAAATTTCATCACTACTAACCTTGGCTTCGCGGAACAGTTGCGTGAATAACACAATATACACACACTCTCTCTCTCTCTCTCTCTCTCTCTCTCTCTCTCTCTCTCTCTCTCTCATACGCACGGTGCTTCCATAATAAGAAAACAACACATTCCAAGCAGAATAACAAGTCATTACAATGTCACAATGATATCAAAATAACTCCAAAATGATCATTAAAAGTCATTTTTCAATCATTTCCGATTCAATTTAATATCATTTTGACATTATTATGACTTGTTGTTCTGCTTGGGATTCGCACAAAGATCTATTACCTCGTAAAAAGAAAAAAAAAAGTGACACTGATAAAATCACTTGGCGTCGTGTTGAGGTTAGGTACACCTACATGCCAATGAAATTTGAACGGAAACTCGTAGTTCCTGACAATCGATATTGTCGTGAAATCGTCCACCGAGGGAGTCGGTTCAACAAATTGCCAATTGTGCTAAACCACTTCGATTTAATGATCGACGTAAACACTCGATATGATGACGCGGCGAATGACAGGAGCGGTGTTCTTATCAGGTATACATAGGACGATGACACGATGACGAGTGACAAGTGGCGTACTCGCGTTTGCGGAGAAACGTAGGTACCTGAAGAGCAGGCGAGATTGTGCGGATACGAGCGACACACGGGATTTTAACGCGTGCGTGACGAACATCAGAGCAATCGGAGCATCCGAGGACGGAGATGAATCTGACGAATTGCAAAGTCGGAGCAGCACGAAGTTCTACACTCGCTTGTACTCGCTGTCCGCTGTGATCCGCTGATCAAATCAACTTATATCACTGGTTGTCGATTGACGGTTCTATATTAGCGAATCATCACGATGCAACGAGTATGGGCCACCTTCATTGTAATTGGCTAAAATAGAATCGTTAACCAGTAACCTTAATCAGAAGTAATGCGATTATAGCTTTATGGTTTAATGAATAAATAAAAGCTATGATAGGAGCGTGTTGGATGTTGGAACATGCGACATGACAAATCTAATATGATGCCTCCTATGATCTGTGATAAGTTAAGTTATACGTGTCGTGATGCTATAGTATTGCGCGGTTACAGTGGCTGCGTTCAGCAGAAAAAAGCAGCTTTGCAACTATTGTAAAATTCTTTAATATGATTGGTCCTGCCCTTAGTTCTTTACTGGATTTAAATATATAAACCAATCATATCTAAGAATTTTATAACAGTTGCAAAGATTTTCTTTTGCCCAATTGCATCAATGTCACTTTGACTTTAAGCGAGACTTAAAACTCTATCTGTCTCGTTTTAAAGCCAAAAAGAGACAGAGACAGAGAGTTTTAAGCTTTGCTTAAAATCAAAGTAATGTTGGTGCAACCGAGTCTTAAACTATAAAAACCGGCTATGAATACCGGTCATAGATATCAATCGATTAGTTATTTAACACAAAACTTACTCAGCGTATTGTTTGACAGATTAAAAAAGAAACACTGTATAACCTGTTGTATACTGTTAAATTAACCAATGGAAACATAGTTCAAGGCTCTTTAAACAATAATCGCACATGCAGAATCAGTGTGATGCAAGAAAAAGTATCGGAGTGCTACGAAGCATTTTGGCCAGTCAGAAGAAAAAATTTTACTAATTGAACAATAAAAAAAATTTTTTTTTAACATTATGTATGATATTATATTACAGAAAATGCATTATTATTTTATTGAACTTAATTAAGCTGTCAAACTGTGTGTATTTGACTAACGTAGGAGGCCAGTATTTGTCTTTTTTTTTTTATATGTCTGTTTTCATAACAAATGTCAACATTTAACGTGATTTTAATTGGCCACAGCTAAATCACATATTAATGTAATGTATTATAATATATATACATATATAAATTACAAAAAATAAGTAAGTTCATTAGAATATTTACAATTTTATTTACTTTACTTATCAACAACTCATAAATTTTATTCATTATTGTAATCTCCCAAAACATATATACAATCGACCCAAATCGATTCTTGAGCAGTCTTTAAGCACATTGAAGTCAGTTGGAGATTAATTGCGAAATAAAGATTAGAATTTAATCACGCAGAATAAAACAGAAATTAAGATTATCTGACCGATCGAAATCTAATCTCTAACTCGCAATCCCCCAATGCATAATATGAGACGGACTTAACGGATTTGACGCACGCAGTTCGCCGTTTATCTATCGATCACTTCGTGACGCGCGTTTAGTACAGACGCACACCGTGAGGCGCGGCCGGCGGCGCGGCCGCCGCCGTCGGCGCGCAGTGGCCCTTGTACGCGCGTGATGCGCGGATGTACGCGTCGCGATTGTGCGAGAGAGAGAAATCGAGTTGCTAATCATGCTGTACATCGTCGGTTCGCTGGTTTCCGTAACAGCGGTGTAGGTATATACGCGCGAAACGATTCATGATCTTGAGCGACCGCGGGGTGTCAAGCGCGCATCGTAGGATTACGTGTAAAGTAAACAGACGCACGCACGTAAAAGCTCGTGCGCGCGCGCACGCGCGAGCAAGCGATCACAGCCAGGCAGACGTTAAAGCGTACAAAGCAGCATCTCGCGATCAAGTGTATAGTCGACGGTCGGTGTGGTATGCCTGACAATCGAATCGGTCGACGACAGGCGAAGTGAACTGATTGCATACGTGCCAGACGGCTCGAGAGTTACTGCGTGAAGTGAGGAAACGCGCGATCGGCCGAAGCGCGACTACCTTCAGAGAGTTCAGAGCGACATCGACAGTGGCATCGCTCGGGCGGGCACACCGCCATCCGTGCCGCGCCGGGCGGCTCGTCCGTAGTACCTTCCCTTGCTTGCATGCCACGCTTCGAAACGAGAATCGGAGCTGCCTGTTGGTGTTTCGTCGTGCTTATCGAGGTAGGCCGGCTTCGCCAATATCTCGCGTGTACCTAAACCGGCGGTAAGTTCTCGACGGTTCTGGGCGGATTACGCCAGACGTCATTTAAATGTATTTACTGAATTGTATGGAATTGTACGCGTCCTGACTGTCGGTCTCTTTCAACTGTTCTCTGCGTTTCTTGAGTTTAAAGTGCAATACATACGTCTATTTAAGCTTCGGATAGAGATACGATAGCGAAAACGATATGGAAAGAGAGAAAGAGAGAGAAATATTTGCTGTTAATTTTCTAGAGCTGACGCCAAATCTGTAATACAATTACTAAAGCTGAGGCCATAAAACTCCATTTAATTATTAATTAAAAGGTACTAATTAATTTCAAGAAACCAAAATAATATAACTATAAAAAAAAGAATAAATTGTAGAATATATTTTAATAAGAATAATTGAAATTTGCAGATGTAATATAAAGAAAATTGAATTGTTTGACAAAGAGATTTAGTGGATCCAAATTGAGTAGATTCAAAATTCTGACAGCCCCGGAGGGTTAAAAATAAATGATACGATGGATCTTGCATCGTAATCGGTATTAAGTAGGTATACTATAGAGAGAAACGAAAAACCAATACTTGAATAATCACTGGAATCGATCGCCCCTAGATCGACTTGTCTTATTGACTGCGTTCAACAGAAAATACACCTTTGCAAATATTACATAATTTTTTAAATACAATTAGCCCTTAGTTTCTCACCGAATCTAAATGTATAAACTTGTATAATAATATTGAAAAAACTTGCAAAATTGCTTTTTCTGATGAACACAACCGTTGTCAAATTACACTTTTCATACTCGGCGCCTTCGACCAGAGAGGGTTTCGATCGCTCCTACGGCGATTAATGACGTAATGATCCTGCTAAGTGCATCACCAGTTGAGCGCAAGTTCATAAAAGTTAACTTTGCCGCGCAAAGCAATTCGAGTTTCTTCTGGAGCCGAAAATAATATTGAAGTGACACAGGAAATCTATTTTATCTCTCCAATTACTTTCTATATTAGAAAAACTTGACTTTATCTTTTTAAAGTACACGTGTATATGACGTTAAAATTATCGAGATGCTTTTTTATTAAATACTGGAGCAAGTTGATGTCTAATACGTTACATTTTGGGGGGGGGGGGAACAATTAAGGATCAAATAACATTCCAGTCAGAAAAAAATATCTCTTAAGCCTTATGTGTGCTGGAAACTTCTCCGAGATCTCGGAGAAGTTTCTAGAGAAAGAATTTACATATTACATTGGGACAATTCGATCACATAAACAATGTGATTGGTCAATTTTTTTTTTATTCGAGATTTCTAGCATCATGGACTCAAAGTTTTATACATTTTTCGACTCCAATCATTTGTTTCATTTTTATATTATTACTTATTAGACATCGTTAGACACGATGCGTTCTAATTGCATCATATTGCATTTCTGTGAGCGACTAATGTTTATTTCTGTCAATATCTGTTTATTTTTAATTTCAGTTTAATTTACTCTCTATTTTTTATAATTCAAATACAAATTGGGAAAAAATAAAGAATAACTTAAACCGAGGTTAAAGTTTTTCTACATTAGTAGAAATAGTCGACCGTCTTTTTCTGTAATGTTTTTTTACTATTATAACTTTTCTGTGTATAAAAAAAGTGATTATATATTCGTTTTATTATTTTGTTTCAAGCAAGAGTGCCCAAATATTCAAATGTCTTGCTTGTTTTAATTAACTTTCTTTTATTTCACAATATATTATCAGTATTTAAATGAGTATTTAAATGAATATACAAGATGTCTTAATATGTAGATGCTTTTTTTATTCTTTCAAAAAAATTAAGGAAGACAAATGTGTACGAAAAAAAAAACTTTAAACTGAACTCTGTTGAATTGGAGACTGTTTGATATAGAAACTGTTCTCGTGCGTTTTCACAGAAAAATATTGTAGAGTATTCTAGAATCATTGAGATCGAACTGCCTGTCTATTTCGGAGTCCCCTTAATTCCCAAACTCTTATCCTGACGAAATATGCGTGAAACGAAAATGTCATCGCTCGCTTTCCGTCTTTTACTAGTTTCTCACTCCACGCATGGCCATGCAGTCACGTGGCAAACGGCATAGTGGGAGAGCGACGTAAGAGAAGACTTCCACTTGAGGGGAACAGCTGTTCCAGAATAAAAGAGGATTCGGAATAGAAGGGCTTTACCGTAACATCTAAAATATTGAAAATTAAATTCCACGAAATTAGGATACCATAATTCTGTTCAAACTCGAAACATTGACAATCGTCTGACAACATCAGAGAATTGTCAATTAACATAGTTTTGCACGCGTATATTCGAAAGATCGTATTCATGTGATCGGCTTCAAAATAGTTGAGACAATTAGTAATTCTTGAAACGCACGTGAAATATCCAGTAAAAGAATTTGTCTCATATTCTTGAAGTTCTTTGTGGAATTTTGCTCTAAAGAGTGAAAATTCTGCCTCTTGAAAAAGAATTTTCAGTTTTTAGGAATGAAATTTCACTTTTTAGATATTCACTTCGAAGAATTTAGAGAGTAGAAACATTCGTTTGTTCTTTATAGCTAAATTTTCTGTTTCTTTCATCTTCCCCATACTCTAAACAATCGATGTGAATGTAACGCATATGCTGTATAATTCTTACCGTGTTGATGTTAATATTAACATCATGAATTATATCCACACTATAATAATATTGAACAAGGTTTTAAATTCACACCATGTTGATTAATATTAATACCATGGTAAAATTATACAGGGCGAAATTTTCGAACAAAATACCAAAACAAAAAAGGTTTCGAAAAAAGTTTTTAATAAAAAGTTTATTTATAAATTTTTATTTTAAGCAGTAATTTTTGAGATATAAGGGATTAAATGTGGCCAATCATAAATTATATTTAGATAGCCACCTGTCCATGAGTCACACGCGGCATGTATTTGTGGGTGTTGATGAGTTCACTTCAATGATAGTCACAAGTAATAATCTAAACATAGCTTATAATTGGTTATATTTAAACCATTCGTATTCTAAAAAATTACTGCTTAAAATAAAAAATAATAATTACTTTTTTATTTAATTTTTCAAAGAAAAAAACCTTGCTGCAATATTTTGATCCACGAATTTTGAGACACCCTGCATAGACACCGCATGGTGTGTGTTAAATCCACAACGATATTTTTTAGAATGCATTTCCTCTCCACTGTCAAATTCTATATTTATTTTTAAAGAGTGAAAACATAGTGCAGCTACGAAGAACAGATTTCGTTTCAACATCAAAAGAACCACGTGCAACATACATAGTGACACGACGTTTATCGTCGTAGAACCTACTTGCCGCTT